TATGTATATACAATATACTCGGGTCAATTGAACATGATTAACTATCTGACTGGAGGGCTAACCAGACGCCGCAGAGCAGGCTGGGCTGGGTTGTGCCTTGGAACCAAGATAAGTTCCACTAGGTATTGTAGAGAATCAGGACGATTTCAAGATGAAGGCTCATAGGCGCGGAATGGCCCTATGTCTGGCCGTCTGTATGGGATGAATCCGCGGTTTGTAACTGACCCACCGCGGTCAGTGGATTGGACGTGATTTTTCGGTCCTCTGTCAACACAAATGTCGACCATTTCGTGATATAACCCTTTCTTTATTAACGCCAAGCAGATACACTTGCGTCTTTCGATTATTTGCTTAGCGCTATCAGCTTTCTATGATAACTTCATCTTGCTACCGTAATTTGAGGCCGCCTACATATTTCCATCTTGCATATTTTTCTGCGAAACTTATATAGTACATTATGACACATACATAACATTAATTTGAAGCATGCTAAAGTCGATATAATTTATATAATTTAATTATGGATATCAGTGATGCATATGTGCATTCATATGAAAGCATAACCGTAACACATAAAAATCGTCGGGATTATGAGTCTATTTATAAGTTACTTTAACAATCGGGAGAGTTCCTGCCCTGCTTTTTTTGAGTGAATAAGCTCATCAGCTCATCATGCTTGGAAAGATTTTTGCATCCCGATTTCCCGCGAAGAGCAGCAGCTTAGAACATGTCAATAACTCACTTGCAATGATGAAGAAGTTGTAAATATTGCCGAATTTTATATATTTTATGGGAATAGTTACGGCTAAAAAACGATCAAATGCCACAGTAAGTGATAGAATACCCTGAAAAAATGTCATTAAACAGAAAAATGTATAAATATTACAAATCCATGGGAAATGTGCTTGTGGAGGAGTTGCGCCACATGTATGATCCAGCGAGTGCTAGCCAAGGCTGATCACTGCAGGTTTGCTAGATGTAATCAATTTTATCGTGGAAGCAAAAGACCGATGTGAAGCTCGCTGCCCCTCAGATGGTTATCACGGTTATGATTCTCGGAATTTGCTTAGTAATTTTTTTATCGGATTCAAATTCGGAGGGTGCCCGATTAGAAGCCGTTTGCGCGGCGGGACGGACACGCAGAGCGGTCGGCGGGCGAGACGCAGCGAGTACTGTATACGACGTAGGACGTACTCTACCACATTCTGTTTAACTTGACGTGAATTCGCTACAATAGCCGTTGTAGCTCGTCCGCTAACCCGTATGCTTCTCCACCTTCTCACCGCGAAACGGACCCCCAATCGGAGTACCCGAATTCGGAAGCACAGCCTCACGATTAGACTTCTTGGTGCAATATCATTCGTGAGTGAGTTACACGTCTGCGAGCTCAGAAATCGAGAAGCTTTCTGAAAGGTGCGCGACAAGGGCGCTAAAGCCTCGTCTTAATCTCTGAGAGCACCGCCGTTTTCACTTTTTCGCATTACACGTAGTGGCTTCCTCTGTTGTCCCGCGTATTACCTGTCTCTCCATCGTACGTAATCACATAAGAGAAGGAAGTCATTAAATTCTATCTTTCGTTCTCCTTCCGTCACTTCTGAAGTTCTTTTCGCATCTCTTTTTCATTTTCGAACAAATTGCTGTTGCGGGCTGCGCCTTCGAACCAGCAGCTAGCGCTCTACATATTGGCCTTTTTCCATGTCCTTACTGAGGAAGTGACAATGAAACGGAAGCGTTCAAGCTTCCCAGGATGATTGGACATAATAGTAGTTTAGTAGAATTATAATAAGTATAATTTGTCTAGAAGTTTCAGTGAGTACTGAGACAATAACCTTTATTCTGCGTGAGCCAGAGATGTTAGTGAAGTACTTAGAAATGGCAATCAATGTGGTGATTTTTCCCCATTGACGAAAAATGAGGAATGTGGAAACATGGACGTGACCCTACCTAGAACTTGACCGACCCTACACCGACGTAGACCGCAGGCGCTGCACCACTGTATCTGAGCAGGACGTTTCCCTTTCCAAAAGTTCTCCAGAGAACTTTTCAGAGATGGCCACATTCAAAGTGGCAGCATGCCTGCGTCTCCACTCCTCGCGCACAATTTCTAGTTCCCTGCCACCATCGCTGTCAGTTTTTAATGGCTCTTATCCACCCTCTCACAGCCACTTGTTGTGATCGCATCCAGTGAGTTCGAACTCAATTCGACTGCTATGGAGGGAGTCTTCGGAGGGGTTTCAGAAGCCAGGAAACGTCGGAAGGAAGCCTTCACCAGGTTACCACGAGCTCACAGTCACTTTGTAACTTGCAGCTTATTAGGCCAAATTACTACCGTCCCAGCTGTTGCCCAAATCAGAATTTAATGATCACATATTATGACTCGAATCGAGTCGCTAAGATGCATTGAACGCAATCATGCAGATAATGCATGACGCAGTAAAATATTAGTGGTAAAGTGTTGTCAGCGGCTCACCTGCATTTGGTACGAAATTGTCATCAGTTCTACAAACACCCATTTGGTGCATTCTGAGCGATATACGCTCGGTATACCTGAACTGAGAGCATGTACTGATTAGTTGCAGGCACTTGGTTACCAACAAAACCTACCCGCGTCAGCATGGAGAACCATTTGAAATCTGTAGATTCCAGTGAGCAAAAAAGCGGTGCCAATAGCAACATCTGTGATTTGGAGACCAATAATAACTGAAAAATCCTCAATTTATGAGTGGCTCCGGAATCCAGGAAGGGGAAAGGAATCACATAAACGTGAAGTTATCGTCGATAAAAGCCCATTGCGACCATCCACTTGAAGATGAGCTAACAAAGGTAACACATGGAGGAAGGCAGTGAGCGCGAATTGTTCTCTTTTCCAGCCTACACTACCGAATTCGTTTTTCGTAGACTGCTCTTTCCACCTAACCATTAACCAACCTTGAATTATTGACAGAATCTGTCTCATAGCTGTCTGAACTCGTAAATTTATGTTCAGGGCGTGCAATGAAATGTGTTTAGACTTTTTCAAGGGGAAAATATGATGTTAATAAAGAACACAAAATTCCTGACCCTCTTTTTTTGTTGGAGCTTGTGCCTCCCTTTTGTTAGCATTGTCGTATATAATATGTGTTCATTTGCTTCAGTTGCGTTTTTCCTGTGTGTGTATCGTTCCCTACGTGCCTTCTGGTGAGGTTTGCGAACCTTCTGAGCTTATCCGTAGCCGCACTCTCCTCCTGCAGCTTGCAATATTGGTGACCATTGCCCTTCCTCCGTCCCCTTGAGTAAGCTGTTCGTTTTATTTACAGGCTGACTGAAAAGTATAGGACGCCATGTTTTCGAGTGTAAAAGTCGCGACGGAGCCTCTATTAGCAGATCAACTCCATAGAAAGATACAGTTGGGCTATGTGATAAAATAGGGCGGAAGGCGCTCTATGTTTAATGATTCTGCTTTGACAGAGGCCTTCTGACGTCCAGCGACGGAACCAGCAGGCGCCAACGGCGACGTCCTGCCAATTCTTCTGAAGGGTTGATTTCAGAGAACCCACCGACCTGTAGAAGCCTCCTTAGATCTTGCTCTCTAAAACCCCACCTAAAGAATCGTATAATCATGTTCATGGCTGGGGTTTTAGAGAGGCCTAGATGCTAGAGCTTCTACCGGTGGGTGGGTGCTCAAATCTGTTGCTCTATGTGCCGGGGGGCTCCGATAACACTAGACACAGATCGGTTTGAAAGCGTATTGAAAGCGAAACGGCCCACCTTAGGGAGCCAACCGAGTTTGAGAACAGTAGTGCTCAATCGTTTTCAAGCGCAAATACCGATCCCAACATATTCCTTAGACAATACCTCCGAAATAATTTCAACACTGTTCGAAAGGGGAGACGGTCAATTCAATCGTCGGCTAATGAGGTCACGCCGCTCACGCGGCGGCAGCGTCGCGCGCGGCAAATGGTGCGGCGATTTTTGTATGGGCCTTGGCTAACGGTCCTTGTCCATAAGTTGCTGGTGGGGTTAAGAACTGATGAGACCAAAGTTCCAGACATCAAGTGAGCCAACAAGCGTCACCTTAAGATCTCCGCAGTTATTTAAGCCTCACTGTACAGAGCTTGTGCCATGTAAAGGTTGTCCTTTGGAACATAACGAGACTTTTTTTTTATTAGCAACTGCCTGAATTGTTATCAAAGCGATAATCATTTAGAGCCTGCATGCGCCGAGAGCGGTCGCTCTACGTACGCTCTGCCTGGCAATTACGACTTCAGTTATTCCTTATTTCTGATACTGCGGCTCGCTTACTTCTTTTCGTAATTCACTTGAGGCGTCCATTCCGTAACCACCGCATATGTTGGCGGGGTGAAAATTATTTAGTATTTTCTTCGTTGCATCACACAACCACTTGGAACGGTAAATTTTTCGTCGGTTTTGCTTACTAATTGATCGATCCTTGTGTGTCACCCAAGTGATCGTGATCTGCTGATAATCTTTCTACCTGTACTGCGTCCATGATTTCTTCGCCTTCCCGCTCTTCGTCTGTTCCAGCTAAGCGCTGTCGAATGGAGTGGTCACCTCAACCTAGGAGTTCTGCACTTGATCGCCTCCGTGCTATTGCTGCTGAGAGAAGAAATGCCGTCGTTCATGAAGATCATTATCGAATTTATGGACGAGACGCGCCAGGGAACTCACAGAGATCAATAGAAGAAATGTGGATATCCTGGAGGAGAACAAAAAACTCAGGGAAGAGAATTCCTCATTAAGGCTTCAAATTGAAAAATTGCTTTCTGTTAGTCCTCATCCTAAAGATCAAGGATTGTCTGAAAGTGATGATGGTCTCATATCAAAAAAATTGTGAGGAGTCCTCGGAATAAGGATAATGCAGTTAGATGTCTTACTACCAATATACGGTCTCTAAATAAGAACGCCTTATCTCTGAAGTATATGCTCACTAGAACAGACTATGGAATAGTTGCCCTATCTGAAACCTGGCTCAAATCTTGTCATGAGGTGAACGCTTTGTTAGGTGAGGTTTGCAATTATTATCAAGTCTTTCGTAGTGATCGTAAGCGTAAAAAAAGGTGGTGGAGTTGCTCTGTTGATTAAAAGTGCTTTATCTCCTCTCCACATCTTCTCAGAGTCTTTTCCAAACGGATACGACATTATAGCGTGTGACTTCAGTGGGGGAAGAACCAAATGTCGTATTATTTTGTGCTACAGAACTCCTAGCTGTCCCTGTGAGCATAGTGAAAGGCTTCTTAAGTGCATTAGCGATCTCTCAGTTTGCAACCATCGTTGTCTCCTAACGGGTGACTTCAACCTTCCAGATATTGACTGGTCTTGCCCTTCTCCATCCAATCTTAGCTCCTCAGCCAAATCTTTCTTCGATTTGACAAAAAATCTGGAATATGTCCAACTTGTACGATCCGTAACTAGGGGTAATAACATGCTCGAGATTCTGCTTTTTGCAATGATTCTGCCTTTGTAACTAGAGTCAGTACTGAATCTCCCGTAGGAACGAGTGATCATGCTTGTATTGAGTTCTCTTTGAGCCTTAGTTGTCATGAAATTCGGTACATTTTGAAAAGAGATTTTAAGAACGCTAACTACGACCACATTCGTAGCTATCTTGATAGCATTGACTGGCTGGGTTCCTTTTATAGTCTCGGTAATGTTAATGAAATGTACGAAATGTTCCTATCCATTCTTTATCATTGTTTAGAATTATATGTTCCTTTGCACAGAGTTAAAGTTCACAAAGACCACATCCCCACTATTTAATATTCTATGTTCGACAAACGATTCACTGCTTATAATCGTGCTGCAGCGAGTAACCAGCTGGGGGACTGGGAGCTCTACAAGAGTATCAATAAGAAGTTTGAAAACAAGTTGTATAAGTATAACTGCCTTGTTGAAAGAAAAGCCATAGAAAGCAATAACAAGGCGGATCTGTTTAGGCATATCAACTTCAGGATTAGAAAAAAAGAAAGCATCACTGTACTAGTGAAACCAGATGGTACTATAGCTATCTCAGATTCGGATAAGGCTGAGCTTTTGGCCGAACTTTTGAGAGAGTTTATGTTAAGCACAACGATTCTGAAAATGGGAGTCTTGAATTGTATGGAATCTTCCCGCAAATGGATGACTCTTTGTGGTTCCATGAACATGATATTTATCACATTCTGACCCAGTGGAAATCAACGTCCTCGGTCACTCCTGATGGGATCCCATTTCGATTCATAAGGGAATTAATTCCCTCCATTGTATCTCCGTTAAAGTACATCTTCAATTTGAGTTTTTTCCGAGCCGAAGTTCCCGACAGATGGAAACATGTATACGTTGTTCCTATTCCCAAAAAAGCTCCACTAAAGGATCCCAATAACTATAGGCCTGTTAGCATCTCGTCAGTTTTTTGTCGAGTATTTGAAAAAGTTTTGAAGAAGGTTTTAGTAGAGCACTTGGAACGGAATAAGATATTGTCCAACAGTCAACATGGATTTCGTAAATATCGATCTACGGTCACTCAAATGCTTGAAACCATGAATGATTGGACTACGTTTTTGGACAGTGGGAAAGAGGTTGATGTCATCTACTCGATTTCTCAAGGCTTTCCTACAGGGTATCACATAGGAAGTTACTGACGAAGTTGAGACACATAGGCGTACATAAAAGAATAATAGCATGGTTAGAATCATTTCTGAAGCAACGCACTTTTCAAGTCCGGATCAACAATACGTTCTCTGGTGTTAGGTCAGCACCTAGTGGAGTCCCTCAAGGAAGTGTCTTGTCCCCAGTTTTGTATAATATTTACACATATGAGCTCCCCAGTAAAATCGAAAGCTCAGGTGTTGTTTGCAAAGCGTTTGCTGACGATTTGAAGATCTATAAAGCGGTCTCCTCCTCAGATGATTCAACTAAAGTTCAGGAAGCAATTAACACTGTGAGTGCTTGGTCCAAGGTCTGGGGTCTCCCCCTAGCGAATGAAAAATCTTCTGTATTCCATCTCGGTCCTAACCCCATTCTTTTCGAGTACCATATCGAGGGCAATAAGCTCTCCACAAGCAGGGAAGTTAAGGACCTAGGGTTTATTGTTGACAACAAGTTGACCTTCGCTCAACACTGTATATCAATATCGAGTAAGGCAGAACGGCGGCTCAACTTACTCATGAGGAGTTTGTTTACGAAAGATCCATGTGTCCTTCTCAAGGCATACAAAACTTATGTTCGGCCAATACTAGAATACGGGACTTGCATTTTCTTTCCACATTCGAAAGGAATTATTAGGAAACTTGAAGCCGTTCAAAATAGTTTCACCAGGAAACTTCTGATTAGAGCACTTGGTTTCAGCTATAACTCAATACCCCGAGGGGTTATTAGGAACAAAATGTTAGGAATTGACTCTCTTCTGTATAGAAGAAAGATGTTTGACTTGATAACTGTTTTTAAAATGCTCACAGGGAAAGTCAATGTCAAATATGAAGATTTCTTTACAATTTTACACACGAATACAAGGGGAGAGAAAAACAAACTTTCTATTCCTACACCTAGGACAAGTACAAGAGCCAGGTTTTTCACTTCAAGGGCAGTTACGGATTATTCCAAATTGTCAAAAAAGTTTGCAGTACCTAAAAGTACAACACAATTCAAGAA